CAAAATCCGACGCGAGACTGCGCTTCCTGAATGAATTGTGAGGAAATCCCACGCGACAGCGCAATTTGGGAATACATTGCGAGGAAGCATCAAGCGGTAGCCGCTGTTGTTGTAAACCGGGGCCCAACAACAACGTTTGGTGACACCTCACGCTCCCTTGCACAAGCAGGGTATGAGCCCGGGATAAACACTTTTATTGGAAAAACAAATGGTTACCGGAGGGGGGATCAACAGCAAGTTCCCTTTGGAAATGGCAACAACAACAATCATGTTATGACTGATCGCTCACATCTGCTCGCGTGCCATTCAACACGTATACCTCGAACCCTCGATACCCGCCCTCTTCGTCATCGACCGTATCCTCTTGGGGGTATATCTTTCTTATCTGCAACGTGTATCTCGTGCAGCCCCTCAGGCAAGGGGAAGATAGGACGGATGGAGGGAAGGGACAAGGGGGAGACAGGAGGATGGAGCATGAGAGAGAGTAGCAGGAGGGGGGCTAGGAGCAGAAAACAAGTGGCAGAACCAGACAGGCAGATCGGGCGGGTAGACCCTAAAGGCGGACCCAAGCGGCCAGGTCGAGCGGGCGGGCTGCTGAAGCGTGCTTCCTGCATGAATCGCGAGGAAGCCTTGAGCGACATCGACCACGACGACGACGATCACGACGGCCGCCACGACGACGACGAAGACGACGACGACGACGACGACGACGACGACGACGACGACGGCGGCGACGGCGTCGGCGTCGGCGACGGCGGCGGCGGCGAGGGCGGCGGCCTCGCGGGGCGAGTTGTGCAAGTACGCCCGCGCGTCCCCGTCGAGGGGATATCGCCGCTCGAAGGCCTGCAATTCCTGCAGCACCGCGCCGTCGTCCGGCGCCGCCTCCTTCCAGGAGGGTCGAGGGGGCGAGAGGTCGCGAGATCGAGAGGTCAATGAGGCCGAGGCGTTTGCTGGAGTCTTGGGGATGGGCCTCAGCAATAACACAGGGGGAGGCGAGCCTCCACCAGAGGAAGATGATCCTAGATTCTGGCGCTGATAGGAATATTGCGGCCACCTAGGAAGCCCAAGTACCACCATCGCCGAGCCCGGGATCATCTGCCCTCGGTGAAGGCACACCGACGACGTGGATGTTGGCGCCAACCCCAAGGTCTCCGAGCCTTTAGAAGAAGGAAATAAGGCATACCCGTCGGCTGCAAGAAGTGAGTAGAAGCATAAAATAGGAAGGCGTTGGAGGTAGATTGGGGTTCTGCCCGCCCCCATAAAGAGGACGGAAAAGGTGAAGCCAACCCCTGAAGAGGAGGAAAGAAGGACGACCGCTCGACTCCTGAAGCAGGGAGGGGGCCAGAGTAGATCGGGATCTGGGATTCCAGAAATACCTACTTTCAACGACCGACGCGTAAGCATGATTTGTCGGAGAGGTCCGCGCGGGCTTTTTGTATCGAGGGTGGACCGCCCTCTGGCGGCGCCTCCGGGGATCATGCGGTCCTCGGGGTAACTACGCTTCGGGGTCCAGCGAAGATCTCCAAGACACCCGCGTGGCGCTCCGACAAAAAACCATACGTACGCCGCGCTCTTCGTTGGGTCGAGGCGCTTGGCGGCCCAAGGACTACCAATAGAAGGACCCCTGACCGTTTGAGAGGGGACTTCGGTGAGGAGGGCAAAAACATCAGGTTCAGGGGGTCTTTTTGCTCTGCAGATGTATGAGACCAAACCGCCCAAACCTATCATCCCAAATGCGACGACAGGGGACCTGAGTGAGGCCACGTGGTCTTAGGGTTCCAGGCTCTTTTGCTCTCGACGAGTCTGACGGCCCAATGAAGCCCAAAATACGACCCGATGAGCCCACCACGACGGCCCGAAACCGCCCAAAGAAGGCCCCAGTGCGGCCCTGCCAGGCCCAGGATCTGGCCTCCGAAGGTGTCAGACGAGCAAAGGAAGCCCCAAGACGGCCCAGGACCCCCCTGACGCAGGCCAAGAAGCACCCAAGAGGCCCTCCAGGAGGACCCGGCGAGGCCCAAACCCTTCGTTGCCTTTTGGGTATTTCCACGAGTTTCGCGCTTCCGCCTTTTCGGGGTTCCGACGGCCCAAGACGGACCAGGAGGCCGCCAACCCGGACCAAGAAAGCCCCAGGAAGGCTCAAGAGGGCCCCAAGACGGCCTCAATACCGCCCAAGAGACCACCACGACAGCCGACATGCTGCAGAGACAACACACACACACACACCTGAAACGCCCCACGGCCAGCGCCTTACCCGAAGGGGCCCTGATCAGAATACCCGTCTCCCAGGCGTGGCCCCCCGAAGAGCCGCCCCCGTCGGGCAACTGCCTCGCGAGGGGTCGGTGAGCGCGAGGTGGAGCAACGTGCACACGAAACGCGTGTCCTCCTCCTCCTCCTCCTCCTCCTCCTCCTCCTCCTCCTCCTCCTCCTCCTCCTCCTCCTCCTCCTCCTCAAGGGCCTTGCAGGGCACCCTTTGAGGCCACCGTCCTGCAGCCCTCGTCGATCCCCCTGCGCGTGGTGCTGGTGCCCCCCCCCGTGGCCGTGCGCACGGCCCCGCCCCTCCGATGTAGCTGCTCGTGCGGAGTGGTGCGCGAGCGAATGCAAACAAGAAAAGTTCTTGAACGAATTCGTACAACCGTTTCGGAGTGAGCGTAATAAACTACGTTCCTGCTGCTTGTCCTGAAGAAAAGAGCGCTCTCATGTACGAACTGTCTCGAACTCCTTCGGGCTTCTGGGCGTTGCTTGATGGGGGGCGATCCATGGAGGAGTGGAACGTGCATCTTTCGTACCCCTCTGGGGCTCCAGAGGGCCCCCCTAGGGCCCCTCTCGGGTGCAGAAGGTGCACCATTCGTCCCCGCCCCATCTATTGCCCCCCCATCACAGTGAAAGCGTAGAATGAGGACGCACGAGGAGGACGCAAGGGCCCTGGAAGGCCGCGTCGACCCTGATCGAACGGGGCCGGCTACGAAAGCTAGCGAGGATGGGCAGAAGGCGCAAGGATGCAAGGGTGACTTCTGGGCATCTCTCGGACGTCCATTCCCTCTGTTTGTTTCGGTTTCGTGCGTGGCTTTTTCGCCAAATCGTCAAGGATGCTCCTCGATGGTCCTCGCCAAAGGAAAAACGCACGCGTCCGAGCGATGCCAAGACCTTGGGAAGCTGTTCCTCCTCAACCATGCGCGATGACTGCGCGCAGCGCCCGCCGCTCTGCACGCGCCGCGCCCGGGGAAACCCTCAGAGGCACCGAGACCGCTGCTCCCCCGGACCTCTCTCCCGGGGTGCGCTCCGACCAGAACTTGACCGCGAGCCCGGCGGTGGCGGCGAGGGCCTCCCAGCGGGCCCAAAGGGGGCTCCCAGAAACGAGGCAGTGGGGCGTCGGCGGCATCGGCACGCACCTCTTCTCGGGGTGGCCCAGATCAACCCGAAGCAAGGTCAGTCGGGCTCTGCAGGATCCCGCAAGATCCTGGAGGATCCTGCAGGACCCTGCACGCAGGCCCGGGTCGGTGCACCCCTGGCTCTGCAGGACCCTGCGAGATCCAGCGCCCTGGCTGACCCCCGCCTCGAGGCTCCCGATCTTCCTCCTCGGGGGCTCCTCCGGCGCCGCGCCTCCCGCCAAGGACCTCGAAAGCCCGGCAGCCTCCCGCAGGGTCCGCACGAAGCGCACCACCAGGGCGGAGTAGTCGGCCTCGCCCTCCCGGGGCGGCCTCTCGGGACGCGGGCTGGGCGGCGGCGGGCGGCGGCTGGGCGCATAGGAGGAGGAGGAGGGAGGAGGAGGGAGGAGGAGGAGGAGGGGAGTAAGGTAGGAGTAAGGGAGGAGAGGGATGGATGGAGGAGGAAGGGGGGGAGGAGGAGGGGTGGGGGAGAGGAGGAGACGGAGACAGGAGAGACAGAGAGATGTGAGAGGGGGAAAAGAAGGAAATAAAAGGAGAGAGGAGGAGGATAGGTATGGGGGCGAAGGAGAACGAATGTTGGGGGGAGACGGAGAGCAAGGATGTGATTGAGGAGAGGAGAGGAGAGGAGAGGAGAGGAGAGGAGGGAGAGGAGATGGAGAGGAGAGGAGAGGAGAGGAGAGGAGAGAAAGTCGTCGTCGGACGACGGCATGGCGAGTTCGCGTGCTCCGCTTCGACACCGGGCGGCTCCCAGGAGCCAAGGTGACAGGAAAAAGAAAGAGGATACGGGCAGACCAGAAGGGCATGGATGGGGCTAGGCAGGATGGAGGAGGTGAAGGAAGAGGGAGGGAGGGAGGGAGGGAGGAAGGGAGAGGAGGAAACCGTGCACGTGCACGACACGCAGCGCCGCTTCTCGAGCTCCGGCCGATGAGGCGCAGACCGCAGATCTGGCCTCTGGGGGACATGGGGTGGGCCTCGGGAGGGAGGGAGGGAGGGCGGCGCGCTCTGACCGGCACCATCACGACCACGACCAAGAAACACGCCGACGGCCACGGCCTCGACGACCCAGGCCACGACCGCGGCGGACGGCGGAGGCGACGGTGACGACGGTGATAGCGACAGCGGCGACAGCAGCGGCGACACAGCTGAGCTTGCAGCCTAGAGGCTTCCTGTTGCCTGCGCATGAGGCGAACGTCGCAGATCTGGAGCGTGCCTGAGCTGCTGGTGGAAGACGTGCCACCCAGGGTGGATGCTGGCCTAGGGAACGACAAGGCTTGCATCTGAGAGTATTCTTACCACCTGGATAAGACGGGCTGGACGTGGATCCAGAACTCGCCAACTTGCTGGGTGTGCATACGTCCCGCCAGGGTGGATGCAGGCCTGGTGGTCATGTTAGGAGAGAAATGTTCGCACGGGGTACGGTATGCACGGAGTTGACAGCGATTAGATTAGCTCATGTGTCGGCTGCCCAGCGTTAGTCGCATCTTAATGTGCACGATAAAGTTGATTGTAGCTGGCGCTCTGGCTGCAGCTTAGGCTGTAAACGTTGCATGTTGCTGTCCGTAATTGCAGTGCTGGCTACAGTCTTGGCGTGATCTGGCCTAGCTCATTGAGCATAGTCTAGATCGGGTGATACTCGGCCTTTACTGTAGCCGTAATCTCAGCCGTCGCGTTGGCCGTCGCCGTTAGCTCCAACTTTCGCATCAGCCTCAGCCTTAGCTTGAGCTGAGCCTTAGCCGTAGCCTGACAACCAGCCTCAACATTATCTGTGGCTTCAGCCTCAACCTCAGTTTTTGTCATCACCTAGCCTGGCTTAGATTCGCATGTGCTACCTGCCAAGTCTCATCAACACTACCCGCACACTATCACCTGCCATACTGTGCACAAGATGACCCTTGCGTAAAACCACGCACGGCTGTACATTGCATCGCGGAGCACTCCTATACACGCGTCTCAGAACGAACCTCTGACGAAAATGCGCATCGCGTACCTCTGAATCACGCCTTGAGATCATCTGGGCTCATCGTTGCTCAGCAGCGCCCTCGAGAGCCAGGAACGCCGCGGCGGCAGACCTTTCCCGCCCTCCCCGCCTGAACTCTGCGAGCGCTCTCTGGACGACCGCCTCCGGCGACTGCCTCAGGTAGTCCTGCCCGTTCTGGTCACACGGGTACCTGGCGAAGAACTCGTCCAGTCCAGCGGGGGGCTGGTGATACTGGCAGCGCTCACGCGGGCGCAGCGCGCGCGGTGGGCGGCCCTTTCACCTCAGGAGGTCTTTAGCTTTTCACCCCCCCCCCCCACACCCCTTTCTCCAGGCCGGGCAGAACCTCCGCCCCACCTCCTCTTGCTCCTCTTGCTCATCTTGCTCCTCTTGCTCCTCTTGCTCCTCCTCCTCCTTCTCTTCTTCTCCTCCATGTCTTCTTTTTCTGAAGTTCATTAGTAGTTTCCTTGTTCGTCGACTTCGTCTTCGTCTTCGTCTTCGCATTCTTATTATTATCAGTCGTGTTATTATTAGTATTCGTATCACTCTTCTGCTTCATCTTCATCGTATGCTCCTGCTCCTCCTGCTCCTCCTGCTCCTCCTGCTCCTCCTGCTCCTCCTCCTCCTCCTCTTCCTCCTCCCTCCTCCTCC